ACGGATTATTACCAAAAACTAATCAAAACCTAGCATTAGTTCAGAGCATGTATGTACAAAGTTTCATCAAAATCCAATGAGTGGTTGTTTAGATATCAGTGGAACAATCATGGAACAGCTAAAAATCAGCTAATTATCATGCAAATTAGGTAATTAATATGCACGGATTTTTACCAAAAACTAATCAAATCTGCGTATATGTTCAGAGCATCTATGTACCAAGTTTCATCAAAATCCAATGAGTGGTTCTTTAGATATCAGTGGAACAGTCATAGAACAGCTAAAAATTAGCTAATTATCATGCAAATTAGGTAATTAACGAGCATGGATTTTTACCAAAACCTAATCAAATCTGCACATTGGCCCAGAGCATCTATGCACCAAGTTTCATCAAAAACCGATGTATGGTTCTTGAGATAGCAGTGGAACAGTCGGACACACATACACACATACACACACACACACACACACACACACACACACACACACACACACACACACACACAGACACACTAACTGCAAAGACTCCCATTATGTGCTTCGCACATGGGAGTAAAAAAATTAACATTACAAATATTTTTTTTTAGTGATAATTATTGTCTTTGAACTCTCACTATTATTTCAATTTAAATGAATTAGATTTTCTCACTTCATTATATAAATGTGACCTTTATTCATCCACCCTTGGTGTATAAACAAACAATGAAAACTTCCTATTTACTCACTGATTGTGGTCTAGTCTTACAACACTGCAATCGTTCTCATAGCAACCATGTGAGTTCAACATGCCAGTGTGCACAATGTTTCCAATTGGCCGATCTATATCGCTGCAACACAGATACTGCAGCAAATTAGTTGCTTCATTTCCTGGTGACTTAGAATAGAAATAAACAAGAAAGAAAAAATATCATTTAGTAAAATTGTTTAAGTTGTTGTGTAGTTAAAGATTGTTTTCTTTTAAATTTTTGAAAATACGTTTGTCACTTTTCACAAACCTTCATAGGTTAAAATTTTATGAGAAATGGATAAAATAATGTACAAAATGTACAAAAATAGCATTCAACGTCCATTTCAACATTGAAATTTTTTTTTTAAACCATAAAAGACAGCTTGGCTTTAAATACTATAACTATAATTACCTTGAGTTCAAATTTAGCAAATGATGACATATCCAGTACCCCAACTCCATCTCGACAGCCTTTGTATTCTGACTTAACTATCTCTAGCCAGGGAGGTTTACCAAACAGCCCTTTATACTGGCATTGATCACCATCATCATCAAGAAAGTCATCTGTTACAACAGAGAATATCAGTTAAAATATTATCATCTCTCATATTCTAGTACGCCAAGGCGATTTGAAGAGAGATGGTCATGTGGAATAGAATAAATCACAAAATAATCTCATTTTATGCAAATCACAGAGATTCCACTCTAATTATGATGCAAGCATGTAGTATGAACTATGCAAATACACTTTCACAAAAGCAAATTAGGACGTTGAAATGCAATATTTTGAAAGTAAAAGTTTGGACATTTTTGCAAAACTCAATAACTACAACAATCCGAAAATTATTATCATCATGGATTCAGAAAACCAAAACAATTCACTTGTGTAGCTGATCAGATTCTGCATGTGGCACGAACAGCTGATCAAATATGTTCATGCAAAATGTTAAACACAAATAAAATGCACAATATGAACACATAAACACATGCAACCAGGTAAGCTAGACGAGTCGAAAATTGACTATATTATAATATCCAAAACAATCTTATCAATAAACATGTTGAAAAAAAAATACAATACCATTGTCCTGAGAGTGATGTGCTTGTCACTGAGAACACTAATATCATAGTGTCACATGAATTTGACCTCAAAATTTGAGATTATAAAACAAATAGAAACTGTAAACATATATGAAGATTTGCCCGACTGACCACTTCCACTCCTCAGTTAATAATTGTTTAATATCAATGCTAAACCAATTATGAATACTCCACAGCCAAATCAGTCATAACAACCTTGTCCACCCCAAAACATTTTGAAAAGAGAATTACCAGGTATGCATAAATACCTGACTCTGTTTCTTTTACATATAATGGTCTCTCCCATCCTGCTTTCTCACCAAACACAGCACCAGCAGCCTCAAGTCTTGGATACAAAGGAGAACAGTGCAGCTTTCGTCCATTTGAAAATTCATGCAGTGGATGTCGAATTGTGTAATGAAGACCTAAAAAACATAACATAGGATTGAAATCAAGTAAATACACTTTGGATCAAATGGAAAAGAAATATAAAAAGCGGCTGTTTGATGCATACATCCTGGGTGATCTCCCAGTTTGGGCATGTAAATATTATTGTGTGTTGTTATTTGGTTTAAGTAGAGAATTTTATTTTAATTTATTTTTACTAGTAATTTATATCACATAAGCTAAATTTGGCAGGAAAAACATTGGTAAAAATTTGGGAAGGAAAAATACTGACTAAAATTTGAGAGGACAAAATTCATTGGAAAAATGATTCATATTACACAATTCAATTAATCTATCAGGTTACTGCACAGATCTTGGAATCCCAGTTAGACCTCTAGGTCTTAGTAGTGTGATTATTTATTTTGATTTTCTGGAAGCCAAATGTTCATCTGTATCTTGAAAAGGATATGATAAACAAATTTAACTTGAAAATTATCTTAAAGTTTGAAGAAGATCAGATAAATATTATTCAAGTTATTGTAAGAACAAGAAAAACAGTTTTCTTTGAAAATGATGTCAACAATATGCATTTATGACTATTAAATATGACTTTTCAATTATTTAAACAATAATGAACGACCCAGCATTGCAGTGATCCCCCGAGCAAACGGCCCAACGTGACTGGTACGCTGTACCAGTGTCCGCCACGGTCTTGCACTATGCTACACTACATCGCTGCCGTGGTCCAGCTGGATCGACTGTGTGTAGGGGTGCGTATCCGGGGTACATGTACGTACCGTAGTTGTATCGTTACCCCATTCCCACTAGTGTTTTCAAACAATCAAGGTAGATATTAATGGCAACTGTCCTGTCTGTGTAATAGTTATTTTAAATTCCATGGGAGGGCGGGGATTTGATGAATACTTTGAAGCCGAACGAAACTTACAGGCGTAGCGGGCGAACGAACATGACGGGAAAGCTAGTGGGTGTTATCCATCCTAGAAGGAGAACCAACAGTGATTTTAATCTCACTGTATAAATAAACAGATACACACCTGAGAACACGGATACTTTCATTTATTTATGCAAATTGTGCCCGGACTGTGCCTCGACGCCGGGGAAATACAAGTCACGTCAGTCTTTCGTCAATCTCGTTTCGCAAATTTTGTAGTACTATTCACTACAAAAACAGAACAAATTCATCTCTCTGTACTCGTAGACATACATTGTACCCCCATCTCATTTATCGCATTTGCTTGGATAAATTATCCTCGGTTAACCTCACTTCATCAACACGATAGGGCGAACTAATCAGGAGGCCACCAGGACAGCGGCATCAGTCGCGGAATCTAGAAGCGCGCGTACTACATGGAACGCTTTGACCGAGCATGCGTTAGTGTACAGAGCAGACGATGATGCCCTCACAATATTGTCTGATTTCTATATTGAAATCCGCTGTTATTGGTTATGGACCGTTTTATTTGATGCCGATTTTGGTATTAAGGTAGAGATGCAGTTTACCTGACAGATATTTTAATTAGTTAATTAGGCAACCAAGATGACCTCCCTTGTCCACAAAACTATATATTTTCGGAAAGCTTATTGTATGAATTTTACATTTTTTTAGTATTTTTTTTGTTATGGACACTGTAGTTTGAAATGTGCACAAAAATGAGCTTTTTTGGTCAAAAGTGATTTAAAAAAAATTAGCTTCTAAACCATGCTTCTGTTTCCTGTCAAAATTGGTTTATGGGTACATCTGTTTACTATGAAGAAAGCGCCGTCTTGAAAACTGTCTACGAGTTGTCAATTTTGCAGGGCAGCAGCTCAAATTTCACTACTTCAAGTTTATGCATAAATTAACACCCAGGCTAGTTGTCTGTACGATTGTTGTAACACTGTTCAACCAAAAACAATGCCCCGACGGCGTTTTGAAGATAAACACATTGTCAATCATTTGTGAAAATTTCAAAACAAAAGGTCAAAGCGTCTAGGAGCTATTTTTTTTTAAGTTCTGGAATGTGCACTAATAAGAAGGTGAGATAATTGCTCATTTGCATAACAATTCACTCAGTAAGAAGTTTGCTAATGCTCATAATTAAAATGGCTGTAACAGTTCCAGATTTAAATGTATTACAGTTTTGTTAAAAGTTAAATATAGTGCATAATATAGAGATCCTGTCATTTTTTTTTTCACCATGTTTTTTTTATTATTTATGTACAGCCTTGCTAAATCTTGCTAAGCATTCAAAAGAGAGAATGTTTGCACCTGTTATCTATATTTTAAAATCGTTTTTTGAGTATGTTCCATTATTCATAATTCTACAAAATTTTAACAGTCTATAGCCAAGACTGTTTGAATAATAAAGCACAAAAAAATATTTCACTCCAAAGTGCCCACGAACCTGCATCTCTACCTTAAATACTTAAATCTAACAATTTCTCTTCTTTTTCAATAGTCTCTTCTTTATTCGTTTTCAAAAACAACATTGTATTCATATCCATGGGACAGGGCCTTGATGCTCAATAATGTAATACATTACTGCGAATAATCTGCTGCAATGATGTCATAAAATCTACTGGTATTGATAATGCTATAATATAATTGGGCACATTGTCTGAATCATACAGTTTTGTGAATTTGATGTAGACATTACATCACTCCCACACAAATATGTGCATGATTCCACTGAGAGATATTTGTCCTCGGTAAAATATATAGATCTGATTGGAAGTGCCTCTGAAATCAGAGTTGGCCTAGCCTTTCATCCACCAGTTCCCTCTTTTCATCACAAATTTACAAAATAGTCCCATTTATAATCTACATTTTCCTTCAGAAGATTGGGACAAAACTAGCTAATTATTGAAAATTTACTCAAATTTTATTTTATTTCCAGGAAGATTGAACAATATTAGAAAAAAGTACAGAAAAATTTAAGCGAGAAAGTCTAGTGGTGAAAAAGGTTGAAATGAATATAGGAAATTACCAATACGCACTCACTAAATATAGTAAGCAATGATATAGTGATGCGATCGAGGATGACCTAATAATCAGACCTTTGCTGTCGAAGACGAAGACGAGAAGGGCAAGGCAATAAAAGAGCTCACCTACGGTTTCTGTGACTCGATCCCTGAGAAAAGCTTTATTGTTTTGGGTATAAAAGAATCTCTTGATGTCGACAAGAGAGATGTCCAATGATGGAGCGCCATTAACAATCCACTCAGCAATAATAGATCCAGCGCCACCACCAAGACCAATACCGCTTGAGTTATAACCGGCAGCAACAAAATAATTACGAATCTGTTATGGATGGCAGACAAGAGTGTTGCGTCAAAATAATTTCAGTTATTTTAAGGGTACAATTGTTTCAGACTACAGGTGTAGGTGTGTTTAGTTATTAATTTATAAATTAACAATGCATAGTTGATAATAATATTCAGTACAAGTCAAATACAGATATAGGATTTTATGCATCGTCTGTATGTCAAATTCAATGCAATATGACTGGAAGTGCATAGACTGACAAAATGTGGTCACACATACAAACAGAGAAACTACCATGGTTACCATAAAAAATCACAAATGCTTGCCAGTCTGCCATTTTTGTTCTAAAAAAAAATATGATGTGCAGATGTAACACAAGTTTGTTATCCAGCCATGATTAAGTATCAGAATTTACCAAATTTGAGTAGAAAAATGGTCGTTAATCAGCCATATTTGATCAAATGGTAATGAAAAACAAAGTGCATAAATGAAAGTCAACAGAGATGGTTTCTGTTTTAAGTTTGGATGAAATTTTCAGAGTAGAGTCTGAAAAATTACTTTGAACAGATGGATAAGTGGACAAACAGACGAAAGTTTCATGTATATGTCAATGGTTGTAACCTTCCACAAAGTTGTTCTGTTACATTTATAGAAATATTTATAGGGTAATTTGCATATCATCAACTTTTCACCACTTTTGTCAATTGTTGCTACCTTTCAAAAAGTAGTCTCTGTTTGATAGCTGCTTGTTTTCATAGTAATTCTGTTCATATTTTTCAAATTATGGTCAAAAGCTGCAAAAAATGTTAAGTTTTAAATATTGCCTCCAAAATAAGAAAAAAATTGGCAATGAAATCATTGAACATTGATAAAATTAAAAGATGTTAAGTGTCAACGAACCTCCGGAACCTCTCCCATCAATACTCTGGTATCTGGTGTGAAACTTTCTGGTCCATTGAACAATTGACGAACTTCAGCTTGACCAAGTCTGGGAATACGCTTTAACATATTATCTAACATTGGCTCTGCAAGAATAAAGTTAAATATTGAAATTTACAGAAGGTTCTAGGAGATATAAGGATTTTAATTGTTTGAGACACACAAAGTGGACAACATAAACTACAACTGTTACCATGGTAATACTGTAAACCATTAATTTTCACTCCTAGGGATTTTTACAATGTTGTGGCATACATGATGACAAAATTTGGTTAAATTCACTAACATTGCATGTCGTAAGACCCCATAAACATTTTCACAGGAACGAAAGTTTTGTGATTTTCATGAAAATTTTAAGTGATTTACATTATTTTCTGAAGTTTGACTTTTGAATTGAAAATAAAATACATCAACAAAATTGTAAAGACTATCTTTATTAATTACTTTCCCTGATACCGGTAATTTTGAGATATTCCACTTGTTTTATCAAAGTTTGATAACAAGAATATTAAAATGTAGAATAAAATTACCGGGTATTAGTTTAAAGTCAAAATTTCTGTTAAGTTTCCATACTTGAATGAATGTTACTAGGCCACTGATTTTATAACATAGTAGAGGAATTTTTAAATGACCAGTATCCAAACAATACATACATCATAAAGTTTATATTCTAACTATCAGGCTCTTTGCTTGGTATTCCAGTATGAGAATCGGTAGCCGAGCGCAAGGACTTATCATTCATGCCAACGCACAACTCACTCACACCCATGCCGGTAGTACTTGCCGCGCGTCTTTTTCGCGAGCGTGCAACGCGGTCAGTCTCGGCTATTTTGAAATACTGCTGGAACGACTCCCAGGCTTCCGAACTCCAGCGATTACAAATATTCTCTGGGCAGACACCCGAACCCCGAACGCACGTGAAACAACGATAGCACTTTGTATGCAGGTTCCATTCCTGCAATTGCTGGGTACACTGAGTACAAATCCGCCTGTAAACTGAGAAGATAATACCGACGGTGAGCCTCTGGCATTGCCAGTGCATCTATCCATTTCTAAATACATTAAAAATAAAAGACGACATGCATGAGGAAAAACGAATTACAGTTGTAAAAGATGCCGCCATGAAATCAACATGTGATTATGTAGTGGCGCCGGGTTTTAATTTCTTTGTTGTGGAAAGCCTAACACACAAAGGGGAAAACGACACGAGGGTAAAAAGACAAGAAAAACTTATCCTACCAGCTAGAATGTCGGATGCCGCGGCTGCGGTGACGACCCACGCTAGAAACCCGGACAAGAAAAAGCAACAGAGCCAGGCAGAGCCGCTCAGAATCATTCCCAGTTGAGGCGGAGATAAATGAAGAGTGATGGACGTCTACCTATGGTGCTGCCATGTGGCCTCGGTCACGTGGGTTCGTGACGTAAGAGGTAAAAGAATCTCGAGGTCATGGGGCTTCCCCTGACCTAGATTCTATCTCTCCATCACCGGCAGAATCCCTGATTAATGCCTACAGTTCAAAATAGTCATTTTGACTGACCAGAGTCTATGGCGGGTAATTGAACGTAGTAAATTTTCATGTGTTTACTTACGGAAATGGTCCCAGTTTTCTTGGAGCATCTGATATTCAAAATGTTTTGGAATACCTTCAAGGAATGCTGGTTTTGCTTTTGGTTCAAAGGCACCAACCAGAAGACCACCAGACCACTCTCTTGCATAAATGTTACCATCTTGGTCTCGTAAGGCTGAAAATAATGACATAAATATAATGTGTGATGGAAAAAACTATTAAATGACGCTAAAATCATAAAACATAGTTAAAATATTGAGTAACTTGCCCATGAACTATAAGATAAAGTAAGTAATGTATTAAAGAAACAATAATAAAACAGAAGCTGTAACTGGAATGTGATCAAAATGGTCATCAATTTGAATTTGACCTGCAAAACATAGTGACGTTTATCAAGGCCCACTCATTGCCAATTGAAAAACTTAGATAATAAACACCTCCAGAGCAAAGGTTTTGTTTTCTATGTAATGAACAGGCTATTGGTGATGAATTTCATGTATTACTCACATGTAAAAATAGTCAGATTGTACAACATTTGCAAGTTATCAACTCTTGTGAAATTCAAGTGCTTGCTAGGCACTAAAGATAGCTTCATTGTCAATTGCTTGGGAAAATTTATTGATTTTATATCTAAGCTTTAGTTTAGTCTTCATAACAAGATTTGAATACTTACTGGGGAAGTTGCGTGTGTTTATTTCACTGAATGGCTGTGTTATAAGGTAATAGTGTTCACATGGATACAGGGGCACATTAACAACAGGCTGACTTAACAGTCCAACATCTCTACCCCACTGTAATACAAAAACAAGTGTTCAGACCTCAGAGAATCAACAACCAATCAGAGCTTGTGATACAAACCACTTTTTGTAAAGCATGCTCTAATTGGGAGACTGCTTGAATGTGCATCCCTAGATAGTTTGTCAGACGTAGTTTGAGAGAACTCATTCCGGCAGCATAAATTATAAGTGACAGGAGCCTTGGTCAACATCAGATCGGGACGGATCAGATTGTGCTTTACATTAACTGTACTCACCATTCCTCCACAATTTACAAAATATTCACATTTAATGTACCCCTGGTTTGTCTGAACACCATAAATTCTGCCATTGATTGTTAGGATCTTTTGAACATCAATATTTTCAAAGAATTGTGCTCCTAAAGAAAAAAAAACTGTTAACTTAATATGCGACTTTCATTATGTCTCAATACTACTATGGTGTGTAATAGTTTGATGTGCCTATTTTTATTTTATGTTTTTTAGCGACTAAACTGGGTATAACTATAAGTTATAAGATTAACATTTGCACTTATCTAATATTTCAACATATTTTGGATAGCTTTTAACAAGTTGATACATCAATCAGTACATCAATCAGTTCCTTGATTGTGTTATGCAAATGTCTATGTCGACCTTTTCCTGTGATGCAATGCGCGAAACACAGTGAAAATATTTCAAAAACGCACAGTTTTGTTTTTGAGGTACCTACTGAGAATTGGCTAATCTTCACTAAATTCCACCATACAATGCTGTTTCAATAGCGAGTTAGATACAATTACTCAATGAAGTACGGTATGTAAAGTTCACTCAGACAACATGAGTAAAAACGTGATCATATACCCGTATATTCTGAAGGGCTTTTTAGGAAATTAACCACAAGTCTGGTGTGAGCAAGAAACAAATCTTGAATAATGGTAAATGGTTCCATAGCATTTCAATTTTGTGATAAGGTCAAATCATTGATCAGATGAAGTGCGGTTCAGAGATTTGATGATGTCTTAAGATGCTGATAACAGAATCACAAAAGAATCTATAGTAAGTCAGTAACAGCCAATGTTGATATATGATATATTAGATTATGTCAAAGACTAAAATATGAAATTACAGTACACAGAGTGAGCTGATTGTGTTCATTACAGACCTTTCTGTTGCGCTGCTTTCACTAATGACTGGCACACATCAGACGGATTAGCACAACTATCATCCGGAACAAAAACACCGCCCACTAAATCGTCTGTAAATATAAGCGGGTGATACTCTTTGAGTTCGTTTACTCCAAGAAGTTCAGCATCCATGCCAGCAATTCTGTTAATGGGGAGATTAAAAATACAAATTGAATGTCTAAATTGTGTAATGAAGTATACTTCTAATAGTATAATAAAGGTTTTTATGCCAGTAACCAAAGTGTGTGTGCCAGTAACCAAAGTGTGTGTGCCAGTAACCAAAATGTGTGTGCCAGTAACCATAGTGTGTGCCAGTAACCATAGTGTGTGCCAGTAACCATAGTGTGTGTGTGCCAGTAACCATAGTGTGTGTGCCAGTAACCATAGTGTGTGTGCCAGTAACCATAGTGTGTGTGCCAGTAACCATAGTGTGTGTGCCAGTAACCAGTGTGTGTGCCAATAACCAGTGTGTGTGCCAGTAACCATAGTGTGTGCCAATAACCATAGTGTGTGTGCCAGTAACCATAGTGTATGTGCCAGTAACCATAGTGTGTGTGTGCCAGTAACCATAGTGTATGTGTGCCAATAACCATAGTGTGTGTGCCAGTAACCAGTGTGTGTGCCAGTAACCATAGTGTGTGTGCCAGTAACCATAGTGTGTGTGCCAGTAACCATAGCGTGTGTGTGCCA